ATTTACCCCAGCTTTTAGAAGTGCCTTTCTGACTAGCAACATTCCAGGGCAGGTGTGCTAGGTTTTTGTTTTTGTTTTGTTTTTCTTTTTTGAGTTGGAGTCTCACTCTGTCACCCAGACTGGAGTGCAGTGGCCGCTCCTGGCTACCGCAGCCTCAACCTGCTGGGCTCTGGTGATTCTTCCGCCTCAGTCTTCCAAGTAGCCGGAATTACAGGCATGCGCTACCACATCCGGCTGATTTTTTTTTTTTTATTTATTGTAGAGATGAGGTCTCGTCGCCCAGGCGGGTCTCGAACCCGCGGGCTCAGGCAATCCACTCACTTCAGCCTCCCAAAGGCGCGGGATTACAGGCTGAGCCACCGAGCCCGGCTTAGGTTTTTTTTGTTTGTTTTGTTTTGTTTTTTAATTCCTAATCTTCTGGATATGATGCTTTGACACCTTGGAAAAATTTGTTTGGGGAGAGACTGCTCCTCTAGCGCTAGTCAATTCTTGAAGGATGGCAAAGGGCCCACCTCCTCTCTTGGGTCTATACACCCTGGGAGGCAATGCTCCTCTGCCTTAATCACTGTAGCCAGATGTCAGGTAACTAGGGACCATCCCTGTAGCCCAAAGTCCACAGAAATTATTCAAACAAGCCATTTCTAAACTGTTCACCCTGCCCTGCCCTGCCTCCAAGAAAACCCTAATAAAGACATTGGTGAAATGTTCTCCTTGCTCCTGTCTTCTGCTTTCTGTCACCCAGTGTCTTTCCCATGTGGCCCTGCCTGGCATGCTGGGCCTCCTGTCTCCAGGACCTGTGAGTGATAAACATGACTTCTCCTCTAAAACTGATCACCATGTTAAAGTTTAAAACAAGCCGGGTGCGGTGGCTCAAGCCTATAATCCCAGCACCTTGGGAGGCTGAGGTGAGAGGACTGCCTGAGCCCAGGGGTTCGATACCCCTGGGCAACTTGGTGAGATCTCATCTCTACAATAAATAAAAAAAACTTAGCCAGGCATGGTAGCGCATACCTTTATTTCCAGTTACTTGGGAGACTGAGGTAGAAGAATCGCCTGAGCCCAGCAGGTTGAGGCTGTAGTGGCTGTAAGTGTGCCACTGTACTCCAGCCTAGGTGACAGAATGAGAATCTCACTTTAAAAAAAAAAAGTACAAAACAGCATTATCCTAGTCCCTCCTTATTTTGACAAAGGTTTTAGCAAGTTCGGTATATTACAGTCCAGTGTAGTACAACTATGCCAAATCATTTTCACACTTGGTTGTGTGATTGGAAGATGGCCCTTGCCACGTAGCAGTTACTGGCCTGCTTGTGATATTCTTGATTTTTGCCAGGATGTGTAGGTGGGCCTCTGGCTCCTCCCACTGGGTATACTCTGAGGAGTCTGCTCCCTACCCTTTCTTAAGAGAGTTTTTCATCTTCTCAAGGGGAATTTCCATGGCTTCAATGACATTTGGTGACTACATGCACTACATACATTAATTGTGGCGCCTTATTGCAGGCTCTTGTTTTAAAGGAAGATACAGTTTCTAACTGTTATCAGATGGAGCCCTCCCAACCAGCCTCCATGGCTACTGGCACTCTGTGGGGTGCCCTACACATGGGGCATTCCCTGGATGGCCAGTGGTCCCCTCAACACTCCTCAGCCCCAGTCCACCTTCAGCAAGTTCCCTTCTCTGTAACCTGTTGTATAGAGTGCTGGTGGCACGACCACTTTCAAGACCAAACAATATCCCTGTGGTGTTGCCAAAAGGAAATACATCTGTTTGGTGGAACTGGTGGAAATGCTGACAATGACTACCAAATCTACTAACACAGAAGCAGAAGTACCTGCATCTGGTCCAAATTTTACCAGAAGGGAAACCATCTCCCAAGAGAAGTGACATGGGCAAGTCCATGCAGGCATAAACCCTTGCCGGCTCTTTCCTCTGCCTGGTTATGACTCAGGACTGACACATACTTTCCTACCACTGGCTTCATCTTTTGCTTCTCCTCTAGCAGGGATGAGCATTGGGGAGCTAGAGGGCATGGGAAATAGACAAGGCTGGGCAAAGCTGTGGTTGGACCAGGAGCACAACCCACCCCAGTGCACAAGACACACCTCCTCTCTCTCTTGGGGAGGGACCAGGTCAGGTGACCAGAGTGACTAAGGACTAAAGATCCCCTAGGACAGCTGATGCCCACCTCTCTTGGCTGCACTGCACATCACTTTTTCAATGAAAATGAAAAGTCAAAACACGAATATCGATTCAATGAGTGAATTTTTTATTATGCACCTGTGGGTTTGTGGGGATGCCAAGGGATCAAGGGAACAAAGAGGGAGGAGGATGTTTCTCAGATGTGGGGTCTCCACCTGCTGCTGACATAGCTCCCAATGGCCTGCCCAATCCCCATGGGAGACGGGAGGGGAAAGAGACTGAGTGGGCCAGCTGAGGTCAAAAAGGTCAGTGGCCAAGAGAGACAAAGATCAACTGGGCCCATGCCCTCCCGCCCTCCCCACCCAGTTGGGGGTGAAGGTGCTGGGCAAGAGGGCTGGCAGACCTTTCTCAGGGCGGGTCCCCCACCTGTTCCTTCTGCATGGAAGGAGCCACATTATCCGCAAGGGTTTCCACACCCAAGGGTATATGCCCTTTCTAGTCACCGAGGTGCTTTGGATCAGTGTAGGGACTCCCTGACAGTACACGGGGGGCTTGAGGAAGCCTCCCATGGCCCCCAGTTTCATTACACTCCTTTTGTCACTCTCTCACTGATGATCTGGTTTTGCACATGGACACTGGCATGAAGAGTAGAGTGATGCTCCTCTTAGACAAATTTCTGCAGTAGGAGGGTCAACAACCTTCCTGAGGTCTCAGGGGCCACTGACGACCCCAGGGCTAGGCAGGAGCAGGGGTTGGGGAAGCAAATGTGCACCCAGAGCCTGGTTTCCATCTGGGATTTTCCCTCTACTAAGATGAATTTTCTTGATTTCAAGATCTGACTATTCTCTTTTCCAGACAGATCAATACAAGAACCAACTATTTAGAAACTAAGAGCCTCACCAATTTTTCTTTCTTTTTCAAAGTATGGCCAAATGGTTTTATTGCATTTACTATTCTTGGGTGTGTAGATGCATCTACACACAAACAATAATTGTAGCTATGAAATCCTTTAACTCTTTTATTGGGTTTGGAGCAAAGGCTTCTTGATATAAAGACTATGTGGTGACAGGGCCCTGGGCACCTTGGGCTCCTCCACCCAATCTGCTGCCCATTGGTGGAATCAGACACACAAATAATACGAAATACCCGCATGGCGCAACTTGAAGACACAGCCTCCTACAACCCTGAAGCCCTCACATCGCAACCCCAGTCAACATAACCAGTCTCCCAGGAGCACTAGGACTGTTTTCAGTCATTTGAGGTTTCACTGCCAAGGGTCACTCACAGTCCAGAGGCTCAGCATCCAAACTCTTCACCCTTTATGGTCATCAACTAAGATGCTTCCATGCAGGGACACCAGCCCTGAATGAGACATGGGTCTGAACCCTTCTCAGTGGAATTGTGAACAAGCTAACCGAAGTTGTACTGACTCATTGTGACTCAGGAATGACAGCACACTTTGGGATTATTTGGAGTTGTGGGTTGATTCTGTCTCTCCCAAATCCCAGTACTGAGCCCCAACCTCCAGTACCTCAGAATGTGACCTTCTTTGGAGCCAGTCCCTGCAGATGCAGATGAGGTTACACTGGTGTAAGTGGGGTGGGCCCTGAGCCAATGCGATAGGTGTCCTCACACAAAGGGAGACAGTATGCACATGGTGAGAGTGCCAAGTTTAGAAGGCAGACATCAGGTGATACTTCCACACACCATGGAACAGCAAAAACTGCCAGCCAGACAACAGATGAGAGGACAAAGGCAGGAGTAAATTCCTCACAGCCCCCAGCAGGAACCCACTCGGCGCACACCTTAATCTCAGACCTGCAGCATCCAGAACTGTGCGAGAACATGCTGCTGTTGCCCTAAGCCACCCAGGGGGTGTACTTTGTTGACAGCCCTAGGAAACTAACATGACTGGCACTCGAGTTACTACGACTGTAGAGCACGAAGTATGAAGGGTTTTGTCCTGGGCTTGGTCACCCAGACAGAAGAACCCCTCAGGAGGGCTGAGCTCCACATTCCTGAACAGGACAGACTGGAAAAAGGAATTACTTGCCTTTGAAATGATGACAACTCAGCTTCCATCCCACAGGCACTTACCAAGGACCTTCAGGGTACAGAAAAGACCTTTTGGCATGGGTATGCAACACAAACTGAAATGTCAGCTTTGCCCTGGACAACCTCCAGATCCCTATTAACTGGCTGCCAGGACAAATAAAAGAGTTTGATGACAGTTTCCCACCCTCAAAGAGCTCTGAAGCTTCCAACTGTGGCCACAAGCCCAAAAGAGCCATCCCATAATCTGGGGTCCAGGTTTGCTCCTGTGGGCCCAATGCTCAGGGACCTGGAGCTCAGACTTTGATGACATGTCATGGTTCTTTGTGCTTAGCCCTGCTCCCCACTGTGCCCACCAGTCCCACCCTGCCTTACGGCCCTCCTCCAGCCCAACACTTCACTGGCAGATTCTGTGTCGGACAGCAACGAGACATCCTGGAGTTTCAGGACAGCTAGTAGTGTTCAGACAGGGCAGGACAAGAGGGAGCGTACTGCGGGTTGGTTGGTGACCAAGAGGTCGCCTCGAGGGGGCAGCCCAGTCCTGCTCCACAAGCATGAGAGCACTGGGAAGGGGTTCTAAGACGCGGACACACCTGGCACGTGGAGGGTGGTGACACATTCTCCCTGTTTTTGGCACTGCAGAAACAGATCGCTCCGTCGGTCACTCTCACTTTCCGGGGAAGGGAGGGGGCGACATGGCACCACGGAGCGCCGGACGCCACCGGAGGCCGAGAGGGAGGCACTCTCCATCCCTGGAAGGTGGCCGGGATGAGGGACCCCTTGATACCCGCAAGCGGAGCCCTGCAGCCCACGCTCAGTAGGAGTTCAGGGCCTGCTTGGAGCGGCGCTTCATGTGCAGGCGCTCGTGGCGCAGCAGGTCATAGTTGTGCGTGAAGCTCTTGACGCAGTAGCGGCAGCGCAGGGGCCGCGCGGCGCCCGGCGCGTGCAGGTGGCTGCGGTGGCGCGCCAGCTGATCGCGCCGCGGGAACGCCTTCCCGCAGTCACAGCACGGGAAGGTCAGCGCAGTCTCAGCCTCCGCCAACGGCTCCTCGTCCCTGGGCTCGCCCGGTTTGGTGCCAGCGGGTGGCAAATGGATGCGCCGGTGGGACAGCAGGTGCGCATGCAGGCGGAAGCTGCGCCCGCAGGCGCCGCAACGGTGCGGCTTCTGCGCGTGCGCCGCGCGGTGGCCGTCCAGGTCCTCGCTGTCACTGAACAGCTCCCCGCACACCGGGCACTCGTGCGGCTTTTCCTGCTGCCGGCGGCTGCGCAGGTGCCGGATGAAGTTGACTCTCCAGCGGAAGACCTTCCCGCAGTTCGGACACACGTAGGACTTCCGGGAGGCCTGCCCATCAGCCCCGGGATCAGCGCCGCGGTGGGGACCCGGGGGTCCACGTGGCTTCTCCAGGGGGCGCACCGGCTCCTCCGCGCAGTACGGGCCGTGCTGGGAGTCTTCGTCCCCGGAGCTGGACAGCACGATCTCGATGGACACCTCCTCGTCCAGGCTGTGGTCGAGAAACGGCGGGTCGCCCCCAGCTATGAGAAAGCGGCAAGCAGGTCAGGGGCACTGGACTCCCATCCCTGGAGCCCAACCCAGGAGTCAGAAAGGATCAGCTCCGGGTCCACCAACTCACACTTTTGCAACGCTTCTTGGTGACCCGGGTGCCAGGCCAGCCCTGCAGGGGCATGGGTGTAACCTGGGAGGAGAAACTATTAATATGGGCCAGGCTTTTTCCAGAGCACCCTGGCACGCCTTTTTTCTCCTTCCCCCTTCCCAGCCATTTTACTCCCGCCCTCATCCTGTTTTTTTGTGTTTTTTTCTAGCCACTAAGACTTCCCTAAGCTCTAAGAGTCTGTGTTTATCTGTGTAAAGCCTTGATCATTTACAAATCACGTATTGCCACCTGATTTAACCAGGCACTCAGGATCCGTCAGAGGCCTCCTGAGAGAGGAAGAACCTGCATTCTGCACATGGAGTTCCAAGTCGGTGTGCTGGGCACTTAATGCTCCAGGTGGAGCAGGTTTAAAAACTTTGTAACTGACATATAAGGGACACAACTCCCCTTGGTGTCCCTGGAAACAAAACCGGTCAAGGCCAGCTTATTGCAACATGGTGAGGGATTTGAGGACAAAAGACCCCAGAGCAACCTAGATAAAAGCTAGCACTCTCTACCCTCAAGGGAGTCTTGGAAATCACCTGTACTGCCTTCTCCAGTGTACGCTTTGGGTTCAAGCTAAGCTCCTTCCTTTACTTTCCATGAGTTGTCCTTGAATGAGTCAAGAGCCTGGTCTTGGTACGGGTTGAGGGTCACACCTCTGGGAAGAAACTTTTCACTCTCCCAGGAGTCACCTGGCAGTGCTGGGTCTCACTGGGAAGCTGTCCCTCCCCCTCAGGCCATGCTCCCTTAGACCACCACCATCACAGGACTGCATTAGACTCCTGACACACACAGCCCCTTTGCTCCTGGTCATACCCACTGACATACTATTTGCCACGTCACACACCTGAAGAAGCCATGTATCTGTGCCAGGGAATAAGCTGATATGGTGCCTGGGCCCCGTGGGGCTGCCTGAAGTCAGGGCTGCCCAGGGCGGCCAGGTCCTCTGCAGTGTCTCCCCTCTCATTATCACATGTCCAAGGCCACCGGCAGTGATGGGTAGATGCCCTGGGCCTGCTGACCTTGACTGAAACTGGCTCAGTAGAAACTGAGTCTATGATGTAGGAAGCATGGGGAGGGTAAGCAGCAGGGAGCCTGGCCTGAAGGCCCAGCTGGCATCCCAGAACCTACCACCCAGTGGCCTGTTTCCCCACTTCTGTGAGTGTGGATCTTATGTCTATAACTCGTGGTGGTGGGGCTGGGCTCTCCTAGACACCAGATGAAACATGGTTTGGGGAGGGCTCAACGACAGAGAGGAGGGCCACAGGTCAGAAAGGCACAGGGCATGCAGAGTTGGATAAACAGAAGCAGGGCAGTAAGACCTAGGCTAGGGAGAGAGATGGTGCACGGGAAGACCTGGACTACAGAGAGCAGACGGAGAGCAGACAGCAGGCAGGAGGACCTGGGGCTAGAGAGAGACAGGGGGCAGGAGGACCCGGGCTATGGACAGTAGACAACAGGCAGGAGGATCGGACTAGGGAGAGCCCTAGTCCCAGGCTAGGAAGAGCAGACGGCGGGCAGGAAGAACCTAACTAGGGAGAACAGATGGCAGGCAGGAGGACCCGGACTAGGGAGAGCAGACAACTGGGGAGAGCAGACGATGGGCAGGAGGACCCAGGCTAGGAAGAGCAGATGGCAGGCAGGAGGACCTGAGCTCAGGGAAACAGATGACCAGCAGGAGGACCCAGACTAGGGAGAGCAGACGGTGGGCAGGAGGACCCAGGCTAGGGAGAGCAGATGACAGGCAGGAAGACCTGGGCTATGGAGAGCAGACTGTGGAGAGCAGACAGCAGGCAGGATGACCTACTACAGAGAGCAGACAACGGGCAGGAAGACCCAGGATATGGAGAGCAGACAGCGGGCAGCAGTGGAACCCACGAGGGCATCTGTCCCTCAGGTAGAAGATGAAGGTGGTAGAGCCAGGGGGCATGTCACCTGAGGCATGGGTGAGGGCCTGTTCAGAACCCACACAAGCTAGGAGAAACTTTCAGATGAGGACAGGGCTGTGCTGGCCAGATGGCTTCTCTGAGCTTGGATCACCCCATCCATAAGGTGAACATGACAGTGAAGGGGCACACAAGGCGTGTGTGGGATCTGCTCTATGGGCCTGCTGGGTGGCCAAGAGAATGGTATTAGTAACTTTTATCAGCTATCTATGACCAGATACTTGTTCAGCAGTTTGCTTCGGTTAATTGCGAGTGGAGTTAGGTGCAAGAAGGAAAAAGGGCTAAGGTGGACTGCTAAGCTCTCTTGTTCATTAAATGGGTGAGCAGATGGAATTATGACAGCAGACATATGTACATATGAGCTCAACTGGGGCCCCTGAAAATTCACACATTGAAGTCCTAACCCTTGGTACCTCAGAATGTGACTGAGACAAGACCTTTCAGGAAGTAGTTAAGGTGCAAGAGGTCATATGGATGGGCTCTAATCTAGTATAACTGGTGTCCTTATAAGAAGAGTACATGTGGATGCAGACCCAAACAAAGGGAAGACCATGTGAGGACACAGCAAAAAGGTGGCTATCCACTAGCTAAGGGGAGAGGCCTCAGGCGAGGCCAACTCTGTTGATGCCATGTCCTTGGACTTGGAGCTCCTGAACTGTGAGAATATATGATTCTGTCATTTGAGCCACCAGTCCCTGGTATCATGTGGGGGAAGCCCTAGCAGAGTGACACAGTACACATGGGACATCGCCTCAAATGAGCTAAAATGACAGGATTAGATACATAATTCCTGTAAATTCACAACAGTGCTGCTATGTGCTATTAACAGGACAGGATGAAGGAAATTCCTTGAAGACAGCAAGTGGATGAAGAGATGAAGAGATACTTCCAGTGTGCCCGAGATACCAGAGGACGAGCAACCAAAGAGGCCTCAGCTCAGCCTGGGATGCACAGGAGGCCATGTGTGCATGCGTGAGTGCATGTGATGGTGGTGTTGGGGGAAGACTGAATTGGCTGTCAGTTTAATGCTAGGGAAGACAGGAAAGATTTATTGGTCTAGGTGCCAAGACACACATTAAATCATCGAATACAAGGCAGCTATAACTCTTATCTCTGTTTTACAGATGAAAAATTTAAAGCAGAGAAAGGTTGTTGCCCAGGTTTCAGGAGAACTGAGCCCAGTGGGGGGGTGGGCGGGGGTGGGTAGAGACAGCCTCTAGTCATATGAGTAGCAAGTGGCCAGATTGAGCCAAGCGCCACGGGCCATAGTGGCAAAGGTACACTCCTAGGCTACAGCTGGCACTCAATAAGGGTGCTCTAGGGGCTGGGGGTGAGTGTTCCCTGTGAGCTGGGAGGAGAGAGAAGGCAGGGAGGCTAGAAAGTTGAATGTAAGAAACCACAACAACAAAGGGTTTATACAAAATATAAATATCCTTGTAAAGTTGGGATGGGGAGGTTTTCTTAAGACAGAAAACCAAGAAGATAATAAGCAAATGTATTTATGTTTAAAAAATGTAAACATGCCTGGTGCAGTGACTCACACCTGTAATCCTGGCACTTTGGGACGTGAAGGCAAGAGGATTGCCTGGGCCCAGGGATTCATGACCAGCCTGGGCAACTCGGTGAGACATCATCTCTACAATATATACAAAAATATTAGCTGGGCTTGGTGGCACGGGCTTGTAGTTCCAGCTACTTAGAGGACTGAGGTGGAAGGATCACCTGAGCCCAGCAGATCAAGGCTGCAGTAGCCATGAGCGTGCCACTGTACTCCAGCCTGGGTGATAGAGTGAGACTCCAACTCAAAAAAACCCCCCAAAAACAAAAAGTAAAAAACATATGCTGCAAGACACATAAAATTTAAAAACACGGGAGAAATGATGTATAAATATGCCAGATGTGTCCAGGTGTAGTGGCTTACATCTGTTATCCTAGCACTTTGGGAGGCCAAAGTGGGAGGATTACTTGAGCCCAGGAGTTTGAGACTAGCCTAAGCAATATAGCGAGACCTTGTCTTTACAAAAATAAAAATAAGAACATGTAGCCAGGCATGGTGGTTCCCACCAGTAATTCCAGGAACTCAGGAGGCTGAGGTGGGAGGATTGCCTGAGCCCAGGAGGTCAAGGCTGTGCTGAGTTGTGATCGCACCCTGCACTCCAGCCTGGACAACAGAGCAAGACCCCAACTTAAAAAAAAGTAAGAGGCAATAGATTGAGACACATCATTTCAGTTTCTAGGAAAGCAACCATGGTTGGTAATATGGATACAGGATACGAGCATGGGTCTGGGCTTGGGGCCTGCGCTCAGGGCTCTGCTCTGCCACCACAGCTCTGGCACTGGACTCTGAGCAAATTTGTGGTGACTCTGAGCAAAACTGTGACCCTTCCCAGGGTCTCAGTGCCCAGCTGCAAAGCAGAAACATCACAGAAACCACAAAGAGCCACGAGAAAACACGACCTGGGTGCAGTGCTTATGACATACAGCTTCACAAATGTGAGTGAGGAATGGAAAAAAAGAATTGGAATAGTAACCAGACAGTTCACAAAGGAGACACATAAGAAAGCTCTCCTGCCTCCATGGCAGACACAGTGACACTCATCTGGCAGCATCCCAGGGAGTGTGGACAAGAGAGGTGGGCTCTCACTGGCTATCTGGCGTGGGCTGCCAGGAAGTGTTTGTGGAGGGCAAGCTGGCAGAAGCAGCTCAGTAAAAGGCCACTCTGAAACCTGTGCCATGTCCCCCCTTCTGGGAGAGCAGCCCCTGGCTTCCTGCCATTTCAGAGCAGGGTCTGTCAGTGCCTAGCAAGGGGACAATGGAGCTGAAGCCACCTGTTCATGGATACTCACTCATCTCCCTCACAACATGCTAGGGTAGAGAAACCAGAAAAGATTCCAGAGGCAGCACAGCCCCACCCTGCCTGTGTGGGCAACATCCTCAGCATGCAGGGGCTCCTGAGAGAGCTGGAGGGACACAGTGCTGTGGGAGTGGTGTCATCCTTCCACACCCACCACATCATCCAACCTTTGTCCACATGCCACAACCTGCATGGGATAGGCAAAAGCAACACAGGTCTCCCCTTCAAAAGTTCCATGGGTGAAGTGGGCAGTGTGTGAGCCGGTCTCTAGAGCTGCAGAAAACTACAGTGACGTGTGGGCTCCCCAAGAATCAAAGACTTCATTCTGTTGAGCTCAGTAGCTCATACCTGTAATCCTAGCACTTTGGGAGGTCGAGGAGGGAAGATTGCTTGAGCCTAGGAGTTTGATACCAGCCTGGGCAACATAGTGAGACCTTGTCTCTACAAAATTAACAAAAAAAATTAAAAGGGTGTGGTGGTGTGTGCCTGTATTACCAGCTCCTCAGGAGGCTGAGGTGAAAGGATCACTTAAGTCCAGGAGGTCAAGGCTGTGGTGAGCCAAGATCGTGCCACTGCACTCCAGTCTGGGCGACAGAGGGAGACCCCAACTCAATAATAATAAAAAATCAGAGACTTGGCATTCAGAAAAACTTCTAACCCTGGGGATGTTCAAGGTAGGAACACTTCAGTCTCTGCCCCTGGAGTGGATGACCTGTACCAAGATGACTCAGTCTGCACAGTGGCTGTCCCTGAGGGCAATTTCCAGAAGGCCCTGTAACTTCCACATTCCAGAAGCCTCTTTAATTCCAATTCTCAGATTCCATGCTAGGATTCCAGCTTCCATACTCAGGGAAGAAACACACGACACAGCGAACAGCACTCTACTAGCATCTGCCTCAGCCCACCCGGGGAGGGAGAGAGGGCCTGGCATCAGGCGTAAACCAAGAAAGACTAGTAAGACTGAACCAGGCCAGCAGCTGGCATGCTACAGCTGTTGTCCACGGGGGTCTTGGAGAGTAGTTCTTAACTGTACCCCACACACATGTGCAGAGCCAGTCCCACACATATGCGCACCACAGACACGTATAGCAGACTATACAGGTACACATTCACACGTACATTAACACATGCACACGTGCACACACAGCACACATACACACACAACTGCATTCAACACCACCACCCTCACACATGCATACCACATACACGTACAAGTCTGCAGAAGTGTACACCCATGTACACACACATACATGACGTGCACATGTGCATTCAACCCAACCACCTCCACACACGTACACCACATGGCACAGGTGCACACCTGTGCACACACGCCTACACTACGCATGCACACAACGCATGTGCATTCAATACAGTCACACACACAACAGACTGTACAGGTGCACACCCACACCCACTACACATGTATACAATGCACATACACATTCAACACAACCACCCCCACGCATGTACAACACACAAGGATGCACATTCATGCACACACATGCATTCAACACAACCACCACCACACATACACACATTCATGCCACACAGGTGCACCCCCCCACATCCCTCCCTTACCTGGGCAGGAGCTCTGAGCTGGCGCCCCCTGCTGGCAGGTCTGGATCTCGGGCACCTGCAGCTCCTCCCGTTTCCGTCTTTCATCCGTCTGGAGTGGCTGGAGACTTGAAGAGTCTTTCCAGAGAAAATGCAAACAGGGGTTGACTAGTACCTGCAGTGCCACCCGGGCAGCATCTCAACTGGCTGCGCTTTGCTCTGAGGGAGGCCCCAGCTCCCCACTGGGCCTGGTGCAGGGTGGCCACTCAATGTCTCCTAAGAGAATGGCCTGGAGGCAAACAGGCCAACCTCACGAGTGCAGATTCTGGAACCACACAGAACCAACACAGACTCGGTTTTGCTCCTCCAGAGACCAGCAATGGTCCCAACTCAGTGGTTGTGTCCACTTTCAGGGGTGGCTCTCTAGACATCCCCACAAAGTCCTGCACACAAACAGTGTGTGCAGTGCTGATGAACCAGGGATAGGTGGGAGCCACTATGCTGCATCACACCATGCCACACCACTGGAGGCCCTGGAGGCTTTTTTGGGGGACAGTGCACCAAAACTTCAGCTGCCCCCTGTGGCCCTAGATCTCAGGGGAAGGGGGTGGGGGTGGCTGCTGATTCCCTGAAGGAGCAGGTGCCTCACAGCACCATGGTACGGGGGTCATAGACATAGCCCAGAGGACTGGACACTCCTGGTCCCAGCACTGCTCCACGCCTGGTGTCCCCACAGCACCCCCAAGTGCGGGCAGAGGACTGGACAGGTGGAGTCCTAGGCTGTGCCCAGGCCCAGCTGCGAGGAGACACCATTCACATTGGCTCATCATGAGAATTTAACCTCACTCCTACCAGGGGCACTGGGCCATCAGTATCAACCAGGTGCTACCTATGAGCAGAGGAGAAAGAAATCCTATCCTCTCCTGGTCCCTGGTAGGAAGCACAGTCCCCAGGCCTGGCAAGATCAAGGCACCTTCACTCTTTCTGGAGAGGTAGGGGTCAAGGCAAGATTGCAAGGCCAGGATGGAATGTGGGGGGGACAGAGGAGGCAGTGGGGACTGCAAGGGAAGCTGGGAAGCAGCCCACCTCTGGCTGCCCACCCCACCCTGCCCATTCACTACGGAACCATCACTCACCCAAGGAGGAGGCCGGGGGTGCATCCTTCCCCAGGAGGTCCTGCAGCTCTGGAATGCGTGTCTCATGCTCCTCTCCCTGAGAGAGATCCAGCTGGGCAGCGGGGTCATCTGTTCACAGAAGACAGGGTACATGTCTGTTATTAGTGATCTGCTCCTGCGGGCAGCCTGGTAGGTCCAGAGAGGGAGGAGGGACAGCCCGGGGCCACAGCACAGTCAGGGCCACATGGGGATTTGGGGAGCAAAGGGCTGGAGCTGGCAGGAGAGGGGCACTGCACTGGGAGAGCCTTGGATAAAGAGTTGTGGGCCTGGGTATCTCTCTGAGGTCTGGCAGTTTGCAGCAGGAGTGAAGGGACCATGAATAAGGAGGACACAGAGAATGGACACAAAGACCATGTCAGATGTGGTTCCATGGCAGCAGCCAGGGAGCCTGACCTACACACGGAATCACTCGGACAAGAGCCGCTGTGTGCAGACAACCCGGGTCAGGGCTGGGGCTAAGCAGAGATCTCCTGCGTCCTCGGTTCCCTGGTCTAAGGGAGGAGGCTGGCTCCTACTCAAGTGAGGCCCCCAGCTCCCTGGTGACAGAGTGAAGGGAGCTCTCAGTCTTACTTGGAGGCATTGAGACCCCACAGTCCTCCCCAATGATGAACTCTCCGTAGAAGCCAGTCTGGGCAGGGTCTAGGAGCGACCAATCTTCTTCAGAGAAGCATAAGATCATGTCCTTGAATGGAGAAACCCGGTTCTGAAACACAGGAGAGCAACAGGGATGCCTTAGTCCAAGGGCAAGCTACAAGTCCTAACCTACTTTGGCTACTGTATCAAAATACGAACAAAATAAATGTGGCTGGGTGTAGTGGCTCACACCTGTAATTCCAACACTTTGGGAAGATCACTTGAGTCTAGGGGTTCCAGAGCAGTCTGGGGTAACAGAGTGGGACCCTAGCTCTACCAAAACCAGAAAATCATTCCTCACAGTTCTGGAGGCAGGAAGTCCAAGATCAATGCACTGGCAGATGGGGTATCTGGTTAGACCTGCTCCTTGTTTTAAAGACGGCCATCATCTAATTATAGCCTCATATGGTGGAAGGGGCAGGGAAGTTCTCTGGGGGTCTCCTTTATAGGGCCACTGGTCCCATCATCATGAAGGCAGAGCACCTCCCACACCATCATGTGGGAAGCCAGGATTTTAACATATGAAGAATTTTGGGGGATACAAACATTCAGTTCATAGCATTCTGTCCCTGGTACTCCCAAAATTTACATCCTTGTCTCAGGTAAAACAAATTCATTCCATCTCAATAACCCCAAAACTCATTCCAGCATCAACTCAAAAATTCAAAGCTCAAATTCATTTAACATCACCTAAATCAGACAGGGAGGACTCAAGGTGTGATTCTACCTAAGACAAATTGCTTTCCAGTCAGAAGATAGGCCTAGGACAGACACTCCCACTCCAAAAAGGGAAAAACAAAAGAAGAAAAGGAGTGACAGCTACCAAGTAAGTCCTAGACCTGCAGTCAAGCAACGTTAACCCAGAAGCCCAAAGGGTAATCCTTTTGGACTTGATGCCCCACTCCAGACCCTCTGTGCAGGAGGGCCACCTTCCACAGTCCCTGGATGGGAGTTGGGACACCAAGGTCTTGGGTGGTCCCACCTCTGTGGAAGCTCTGTGTCTCATCCTCTGAGGTCTAGGGCTCCTTTGGGCTGGAGTCATGCTGGTGACTCTATGAGTCTGGGAGTACAGGGAAAGCTGACGGGGTTCCCTGCTTGCTGGAGTTGCAGCTGGGGCTATGAGCCCTGGGCCTGCAATGGGAGGAACACTGCCTTCGGGGTCATTCTCTCATTGTCTGGGACAACAGCTCCTAGTTTAGACCCCATTAGCTGGTCACCTGGCCACCTTTGTGTTCTCGCCTAAACATGCCATCTCTCTCTTTTCAACCTAGATAGGCTGAGAATCTTCCCAGTCTTGTAGTTCTGCTTCCCTTTTGGCCAGTAATTCCACCTTTAAATCATTTTTCCCTTCTCACATTTTACAGGCTTCACCTTCAAACCCTTGCTTAGATATTTCTGCGGCCAAATGTCCGATTTCATCACTTCTGAGTTCTACCTTCCATTAAACACTAGGCTTCTGAGTTCTACCTTCCATTAAACACTAGGATGTAAACACAATTCAGCCAAGTTTTTTGCCACTTTACAATGAGGACAGCTTTTCCTCTAGCTCCCAATACAATGATTGTCAATTCCATCTGAGATCTCACCACAACAGCCTTTACCACCCGTGTATTCACAACCATGTACACATACAAGGTCTGACAATTAAGTTCATGAACTAATCCTAGGCTGCATACACCTCATTGCTGAGTATCACTACAGTCACCTTTGAAGTACTCCCCTTGGGACACTCTGCACCAACATCAGTGCCTAGTTCACCCATCGAAGCAAGTTTGGAACTCTTTTTCTGGATTGGCCATCAGAGCTGTTATTGCGAGAATGTCAGAGTTTGAATTAGAGTAACAAACAAACAAATTTCTTGTTAAACTTGGCAAGAGTGGAAGTGAAATCAGGGACATTTTATTCTAAGTTTATGGGCATAATGCCATGAAGAAAATGGCAGTATAAAAATGGATTAAACATTTTTCTGAGGGGAGAGAAAGTGTCACTGATGAAGAGAGGTCAGGATGGTCAGTAACAAGCAGAACTGACGAAAACATTGCAAAAATTAATTGAATTGTGTGTCAAAATCATCAGCTGACTGTGAGGAGAATAGTAGATCAAATAAACATCGATAGGGAAACAGGAAAATCTTAACTGAAAATCCTGGCACAAAAAAGGTGTGTGCAAAAATGGTCCTGAAGGAGCTCTTGCATCACAACAATGCACCAGCTCACCCAGCAGTGTCAGTGAGGGAGTTTTTAGCCAGTAAACAAATAACTGTATTGGATTACCCTTCCTACTCACCTGATCTTGGCCCAATGACTTTTGCTTTACCTGAAGATAAAGGAAACATTGAAAGGAAGATACTTTGATGACATTCAAGACATCAAGGGGCACATGACGACAGCTTTGATGCCCATTTCAGAAAGAGTTCTAAAATTGCTTTAACAAGTACATTAGGCATTGGCATCAGTACATAGCTTCCCAAGGGGAGCATTTTGAAGGTGACTATAGTAATATTCAGTAACGAGGTATACAGCACGGTTTCTAGGATTAGTTCATGAACTTAACTGTCAGACCTCGTACACAAGCGCATAGGTATTCACAGCCACTCAGGCATTCGCAGTCACTTAGGTATTCACATCACTCAGGATGCCAGCATGGCTGGTTCTGATGAGGATCCACCCCTTGCTCCTAGATGCCATCATTTCACTGTGTCCTCACACGGTGGAAAGGGCAAGGCCACTCCCTCAGGCCTTTTAAATAAGGGTTTGCATTCCATTCAGGAGGGCTCTGCCCCATAATCTAGTCATCTCCCTGAAGCCTCACCCCTTAATACCACTGCCTTGAGGGGTGGGCTTTCAACATGAATTTTGGGGTAATACACAGCACTAAGGGAGGGAGAATGCAGCAGTGGTGTACCAGGTGAAGACTAAAGACCACCGGTATGCCTGTCAACAATAACTGATTAGGTAAACCCGGGTCACCCTACAAAGGATGATCACTCGTGCATTAGGAAAATGGAGGGCCACTCCTTTTGGGCAGGAATCCTCTCCAAGATGTGTTTAGACAAAAGGGCATCCACTCCACAGCGTGTGAGGTGTCTAGAAGTCAAGTAGGTCAGCGCTTCTGAAGGGGGAGGGCAAGTACAGCAGGGAACCCTTCACATACTTTGAATCATGGACCATGGGAATGTGTCAAAGAACTAATCTTAATTTTTTTTTTTTTGGAGTCTCACTCTGTCACCCAGGCTGGAGTGCAGTGGCATGTTCACGGCCACCGCAACCTTGACCTGCTGGGCTCAGGAGATCCTTCAGCTTCAGCCTTCCAAGTAGCTGGAACTATAGGCATGCACTACTATACCTGGCTACATTTTTGATTTATTGTAGAGATGAGGGCTCGCCAAGTTGCCCAGGCTAGTCTCAAACCCGTGAACTCAAGCAATCCTCTTACCTTAGCCTCCTAAAGTGCTGGGATTATAGGCATGAGCCACTGCGTCCAACCCTAATTTTAGTTTTATTAATGGTGGTATACTCATATAAGACAAAGTGATCAGAAACATAAAGAAGTTCTTCACAAAAGTAAATTGGAAAGTACTCCAAAACAAGATTTTTGTGGGGGGGGGGGAAGAGCAACTTATAGGACTTTTGTATTACTAATATCTGTGAAAACCAAAATGGAAACAAGATAGAATAATTTATTTTAATTTTATTTATGTATGTATGTATTTATTTATTTTTTGAGTTGGAGTGTCACTCTGTCGCCCAGGCTGGAGAGCAGTGGCACGCTCACGGCCACCTCAGCATCAACCTGCTGGGCTCTGGTAATCCTTCTGCCTCAGCCTTCCAAGTAGCTGGAAGTATGGGCACGAGCTACCACACCCAGCTAATTTTTTATTTATTGTAGAGATGAGGTCTCACCAAGTTGCCCAGGCTGGTCTTGAACCCGCAGGCTCAGGCAATCCACTAGCCTTGGCCTCCCAAAGTGCTGAGATTACAAGCTGAGCCACTGAGCCCGGCCAGATAGAATAATTTTTAAAACAAGTGGCTGGGGGCAGTGGCTCACACTTTGGGAGGCCAAGGCGGGAAGACTGCTTGAGCCCAGGAGTTCAAGACCGGAGTGGGCAACACAGCTAGACCTCATCTTTACAAAAAAATCAAAACAATTATCTAAAGTGTGGCTCATGCTTATAGTCCCAGCTACTCAGAAGGCTAAGACAGAAGGATGGCTTGAACCCAGAAGGTTAAGGCTGTAGTGAGCCATGATCATGCCACTGCACTCCAGCCTGAGCAATAGAGCAAGACCCTGTCTCTAAAACAAAACAAAACAAAACAAAACATGTAGCCTTATACCTGCCACTTCTAAATCTCTGGAGGCCTGCCAGTTCCCACCACATGGCTTCCAGGGTGACAGGGACAGGAATGGGGAACAGGGCTGGGAAGATGAGTTCTCCATGCACGTCTCCTGGTAACTCTGGACTCTTCCTTCCCCCCCATACACACTTTTATTTTTTAAACTAAAACCTAGAAGATATAGAGTATAACACCATACACATGTAGGGTATACAACCCCTCAACTAGACATACCAAATCAGCAATCTGCCCTTTTACACTGCCACCCCTCACACATATGGCGTGGGTAGGTTTAGCATTCCCAGGATTGCTGTGTCCTGTGGACACCGTGATATTTCCCTCAGCATATAGCTTCTGAGAATAACATTTGCATGATTTCTTGAGCACAGGTGTTCTCATCCAAGGTGGATTCCCCTCCCCCCTGTCCAGGAGATACTTGGCAATGTCTGGAGACATTTTTATCACAACTGGGGTGTGGGTGCTCCTGGCATCTAGTGGGTGAGGCCCGATGCTGCTCAGCACTGTATACTGCATGGCACAGTTCCACATGACAAGGAACAATCCAGCCAAAATCAACAGCACCGCCAGTGAGAAACTACAACACCCAAGCACTTTAACACTCGTTCAACACTCATCTAGTGTCTTCTGAATTATGAAACAGTATTACCTTTCCAAGAAAAAAAAATTATGAGGAGTTGCCCAGGTGACTCAGAGAAGCAGACAGGACTGAAATTGA